AGCGTCTTCTGCTGTAGAGTGGGACCTGTGTCGGTGAGGGCTGCTCTCCACTCCAAACCCCCCTGAGGACATTTGTAGAGGGTGCTTTTGAAGGACATTGAGGCACCATTCACCTTCTAGGAAAGGATTCTGTGCTTTCAGTTTTCTGCTCTTGGTTGACTGGGTGGGCAGTGGGAGATTGGAGCACTGGGCACAAACTGAAGCATAGGAAGTTCCAGCTGAACATCAGGAAGAGCTGTTTTACTCTGAGGGTGATGGAGCCCTGGAACAGGCTGTCCAGAGGGGTTGTGGAGTCTCCTTCTCTGGAGATATTCAAAACCTGCCTGGATGTGGTCCTGTGCAACCTGCTTTAGGTGACCCTGCTTTGGCAAGGGGGGTTGGACAAGCTGATCTCCAGAGGTCCCTTCCAGCCCCCACCATTCTGTGACTCCGTGGTTCTGTGAGATGCAAATTTATTTTTCTGTTTTGGAGAAGGCACTGAAACCCTAGTTCTTGTTAGCATCTTTCTGAGCTGCTTCTTAGACCCCCCAAACACAGAGATATCCCTGGGCAGTGCGCCACTGCCAGGAGATGTCTGCAGGGCAGAGCTGAGCACACAGCCGGTGAGTTGGGTTCTGTGAGCATTGACAGGGAGGAGTCCCAGGGACACAGAAACAGCTCCCACAAGGGACAGCGCCAGGCAGCAGAGACACGGGCAGGGAGAGAGAGGGAGCTGCTACCTGAGATGTCATGGAAGTGGGGATTCGAGCACCTCCCTGCCATCCTTTTCAGTGCAGACACATTACCCAACACAAACCCCTGGTCTCCTCTGCTACCCAACAGAAACTTTGTCTCCAGAGCTGTGGGGTCTAGGTCATGAGACAGTGCCTCCCTAGCTAGACCTTCAGATGAAAGATTCCTGGGAAATGGGACACAAAAAAAGATGCTCAAAGCACTTGCCCTACAGTGTCATCATCTGAGTGGCAGCGAAGACAATTGCATAAGAGGAAGAATTCACAGCAAGTCCGTATGCCTCTGTCCTTGCTTCATTCTTTCTGGAGCATTGCAGTGTTCTTCCCTGTTTCTCCACTTGTCTGTGGTGCTCCTGCTCTCTGGGGCAGGGCTGGGAATGTGGGTCAGTTTTTGTTCTGACACCGATGCTGGTGGCCCTGACCCAGAGAAATTCTCATGGACAGCAGGTGCCAAGGTTGCACGTAAATCTCGGATGAACAATACCACTCAATTGGTAGCAACAGACAAGGAACTGACTCATTCCTCTCTCTGCTCGGTGAGGGGGGTTACTGTGCATAATGGTATGTTTTTCTGCTGAGAGAAATCTCCCCCTAAACTGTCATCGTCTTTTTCTCCTTGGACAGGTCCCATGCCCAGAGGTGGTAAATGGCCAATGAAACTTCTGTCACTGAGTTCCTCCTCCTAGCATTCGCAGACACACGGGAGCTGCAGCTCTTGCACTTCTGGCTCTTCCTGGGCATCTACCTGGCTGCCCTCCTCAGCAACGGCCTCATCATCACCGCTATAGCCTGTGACCACCGTCTCCACACACCCATGTACTTCTTCCTCCTCAACCTCTCCCTCCTTGACCTGGCCTCCATCTCCACCACTGTGCCCAAATCCATGGCCAACTCTCTCCGGGCCACCAGAGCCGTTTCCTACTCAGGATGTTCTACACAGTTTTTTTTCTTTTCCCTTTTGATATCAGCAGAATTTTTTCTTCTCACCATCATGGCCTATGACCGCTATGTTGCCATTTGCAAACCCCTGCACTATGGGACCCTCCTGGGAATCAGAGCTTGTGTCCACATGGCAGCAGCTGCCTGGGGCACTGGATTCCTCTATGCTGTGCTGCACACTGCCAACACATTTTCTATACCTTTCTGCCAAGGCAATGCTGTGGACCAGTTCTTCTGTGAAATCCCCCAGATCCTCAAGCTCTCCTGCTCAGATGCCTACCTCAGGGAAACTGGTCTTGTCATGTTTAATGCATTTGTATTTTGGTGCTGTTTTGTTTTCATTGTGCTGTCCTATGTGCAGATCTTCAGGGCTGTGCTGAGGATCCCCTCTGAGCAGGGACAGCACAAAGCCTTTTCCACGTGCCTCCCTCACCTGGCCGTGTTCTCCCTGTTTATCAGCACTGGCACATTTGCCTACCTGAAGCCCCCCTCCATCTCCTCCCCATCCCTGGATGTGGTGGTGGCTGTTCTGTACTCGGTGGTTCCTCCAGCAGTGAACCCCCTCATCTACAGCATGAGGAATCAGGAGCTGAAGGCATCCATCAGAAAAGTTATTTCAGAGATGCTTCTCATTTGCCATAAATTTTCCATCACTCTTTGGGAATGCCTCTCATGGTGCCCCACTGTAGGCCTAAACTTTGTTTGCTGTTTTGTCTTATATTTTTATTATTATCTCTATTATTAATAATTTTTAATATTTTCCTGCATAAATGTCTGAATGAATCTTAATTCTCTTGAGGAATGGACCTTTTCTAACCTGGATGTAATATAAAGTTGTGTGTTTAACTGGGACAGAGCTGACGCTCTCCTAACATTTCCGAAATAAAATGTGACCACACCAGTGCACTGACTGAAATTTGGGCTCTTCTTCCAAGGCTGATGCCAATAACAGGCCCAAGAAATGTCACACCAAAGGGCCTATTTCTCCTTGGAATTGGAAGAGTAAA